TAAGATAGAAAACAAGAATTGTATGTTTGTGTGTGTTTCTGTATATGAATATGTCAGCACTTAATTTTAGCATGAATATCTGACGTAGGAATATATGATGCTTCTAAGTTGGTAGTATCAATTCTTTCTCAACCACAGAATTGGAGAATTTGGAATGAAGGCCTATATACCCTTGGGAAAAACTGAGTTAGAAGGTGAAAGATCTCAGGTATCCTAATGGAAGTCTGTAAATGTTTAAAATATACATGAAGGTTTATATTTACTAACATACCACAGAAAAGAAAACACACCAAGCAAAGGGCCTACCAATCGCCAAATCCCATTTATGTTTCTTAAATTAATGTTAATGAGTACTGTTTAATCAATTTCAATTTACTTTCCTTTGATGACCACACTCATTTTAAGTTCTATTCTATCTCTATTTCAACAATATACTCAAAGTTTTAATTTTGTTGTGGATAACATAACAGCAGACGTTTTCAGCATTTTTGTACTCACCAATATTTAAAGTTTCTAATTTTAGAATTGGAAGACACTGCTTTCTGTATCTTAGTATAGTCCTAGAGATAGAGTGACTTAACTCCCTATGTCAGATTTCTCTTCTCTCTCCCTCCTCTAGAACAGAAAGTGATTGTCCTGGTTGAGTTATTTCAGGCCTAAACACAGTCCATCAACTGTCTTAGACATCTCAGTTTCCCCACCTAAATCATATGGGACTATATGCGTGTCCTCTCCCATGGTTTCCTTTATCCCAAGTCTCTACTTTCTAAAAGTCTTATCTCTTTGGCTCTTTGCTTTATTGGTTTTATATTGATTCCAGTCTTTCCTCATTTTCTATTCACCATCACCATTTTTTTAAAAGATTTTATTTATTGATTTGACTGAGAGAGAGAGAGAGATCACAAGTAGGCAGAGAGGCAGGCAGAGGGAGAGGGGGAAGGAGGCTCCCTGCTGAGCAGAGAGCCCAATGCAGGACTCGATCCCAGGACCCTGGGATCATGACCTGAGCCAAAGGCAGAGGCTTTAACCCACTGAACCACCCAGGTTCCCCGGAATTGAAGTTCTTAAGGATGAAGAATTATAAAGAAAAGTAAGTCTTATATGCTAAACTTTCTAGCAAGGTAAACACATGTGCTTTGAGAGGGAACGCTGAGCATATGACTCCAGTGATTAAAAAATAACTAAGAAGAATACATTTCCTAATTTAAAATCTGAATTGTAACAACAGATTTCAAGAGAAGCAAAAATAAAGTTTATTGACTAGGATTTTTACAACAGATATCCACCTGAAGATGTTCTAATGTTTCCTTTCCACCCCCTCAGCCACTTCAAGATGGCTGAGAAGACTACTAGGATTTACTGAATAACAATAAAATGGTTAGAATTTTCACACAGGTATATTTATAATCGTTTGAAACATGCCCATGGGTAGTTGATGCAACTCAGGTCCTGTTACTACTCTTATACCTCCTTTGATGTGTGCAAACTTATTCTCATACTCACCTCACTTTTTAACCTGCTTTCACTGACAGCAAACATTTATAGCTACCTTTTCTTTAGTTGACAGACATTAATGTGAGGTATCAGTCAATCTTCAACTAGAAGGGATTCTACCAAATGCTACAAGAGCATAATTTGGTAATTTTTGAGGCTGAATACCCCACACCTGAGATTGGTCCAGACAAATCGGAGTCAAGATACAACCACAGTGAGTGACCTCCTTTCTGTGCATTTAAAAAATAAATAGACTTCATTATTCCTCATTTTAAGTTCAGAGAGTGAGCGAGAGACAAAGACAGAGACAGAGTAAGAAGTATATTAGTAGTACTTAAATTTGCAAGTTTACATTATGATCAGTTCAAGGGTATTTATCCTACGATCCAAGACAGCAACTAGAATTCCAGTTATCCCAATAACGAGTTTCATGAAGTGGGATAAAAGAGTAAATATTGCATGTTCATTGTCTTTTATTATTTAAATAGTGAAGTAAATCATTTTGCAAATACCCTATCTGCCATGTTTTGCTATAGTTAACATTCAGATTGCCTTGAATTTGTGAATCAGCCTTAACTTTAACAAATTTCCAGAAGCAATATTTTCACTACTTTTTCAAGCCAATTGTAAAACTTACTCATGAATTGAATTGCATTTGATAAGTAACCATCATTGATGTTAAATCTCTGGTCACACACCCAAGATTTTTTTTCATTTCACTAGTCATTTTTTTAATCCATTTTCTTTCACTATTCACTATTTGTTCTTGAGAGTTATAAATATTAAGTTATTTATTCTATAACCTTATACAACATTCATTATCTTCTCACCAATTTTTTAAATTATTCTTTTTTCTTCTAATAATGTGCCTTTCCAACTAACACTTTAAATAACTCATTCCTTTTTCACATATCAAATATAATACACCTCAAAGCTAAGCATAGGTAAAACAAACAAATGCCTGACTAATAAATCATTCTACAACCTATGGTAAAATAACCATGCA